GCGTTTTATTCATTTTAGGGCAAACGAAATCACACTTTATTGGGGAAAGTCGGCCACAACACAAGTCTTCGTTCCAGTAGCTAAACTGTCACCAATTTAGTTAATGACCGAAACCGAATCATATAATGTTTAACCTAAAAAAGCTAACAAAAAAATGGAAAGAAGAAAAAAATAATACATACGAGCATTATGTGCATCTGGTGGCCAATCCTAGTATAGAACAAAAAACATTCTTGAGCACCAAAAGAAGATCATCGTTCTCGATCCCGGACTTCACACGCCAGGCAATGTGCTCGTCAGGTCTCACTAAAATGGCTCCTGTATGAGACATCCCACATAGGTCCCACCATGAGCTTGAATTCGGGCTTCCACTCTTTGCTTTAACCACGTCCACAAAATTGTTCCAAGGTAAAAGCTGTGTTTTGCTGTTCCCAATTCCATCTGTGGGCCTTTCCTGCCAAATCACACATACCTTGAGTGCAACATTAAGTTCCTCAGCCACCTTAAATGCAGATTGCGCTACTCGATACGACTCTTTGATTGGTGCTATGATAAGAAGGAACTCAATTTTATCAACAGATATGAGGTCCAGCGTCGAGAAGGCATCCTGTGATAAGAAATATACATCTCAGAAATGATGTGTTTAAATAGATATAAAATACAGTAAGTTTAATACGAGACTACGAGTAAATGACATGTTATACATCATAGTTACTTTCAAAGTCGTGAGTTTCTACTTCTCAAAGCAACTAAAAGTTTATTTTTTGCCTATAATTTTCGAAACTATGAATTTTCAACGTAATTCTACTGGACAACTATGTTAATCACACCTTAGCACTTATAATATGGCTCTTCTATACAAGTTTTTTGGGTAAGAGTTATTTGGAAGTTGGAACTGACCAAGTACTCTAGTGATCATGTTATATCTTATATTGACCTTTTTTCAGTCCCAGTGACTATATTAGACTGAATGCAAAATTTAGGTATAATTATAGAAACTACTAGGATTTGAGGATTAGCAAAATCACAAAGAGAGAGAGAGAGAGAGAGAGATAGAGAGGGATCTTATTATCTTGTATAAATTAAAAAATAGTACCTCACCCCCTTGAGTACAGTATTTGTTTCACAAATAAGCACTTGCAACTGCTGCAATATGTAAACTACATAACATATGCAAAGAGCGTATAATTATTGTGAGATATAATATTTTTCCTTTTTTCATAATCAGTTTAAACCTAGGGAACATTTGTACTATCCCCAACTTTTGAGTAAAATATATCCACAAGCACACAGTGGTAGAAAAAGGTTAAATATAAGCTGGCATACCTTAGTCGAGGGGCCCGAGAGTAACTGAATCATCATATGAGGCAGTCTGGAGCCAGGAATGGAGGAGGGGACATAATCCCTTCTGCGTCCAGTTGGCGTTTCTTGTGTGCTTGAGGAACTATCATCATTCAGTAGAGCTCCTTTAGAGTACCTAATGCAAAAAAAAAGATCAAGAGAAGGCATAAAGAACACCGGAATAGTATTACCTAAAGCAATTATAATAGAGAACTATTTTCCGCCATGGAAAATAGTTATTCATTCGGGACTAATTCAAAAAATTCATGACACAACAATTTACTTACATTCCATTACAGAAAATGTTTTCCCCAAAATCTGTGATTGGATATATTGTTTTAAAATAAAAATACACAAGTCACTCATTTTCACCTTTCATCTTCCTTATCTCATCAACATAATCTTTAAAATATAAATCTATAAAGACTAAACACTTTCCTACAAAATCCACTATTCATCCATTCAAATCATTCTTCCCCCAATATTTACAGCAAATCAGAGAGACTGCTGAATACTACCTGAATCCTAGATCTTCAGCTGGAAACTGGAGCTGAAGGCTTTTTCCTTCATCAAATATCTGTTTTAATTTCATGAGCCGTGAAGATCCAAGGGGATTATTTTCATTCAGAAACGAATCAGAGACCTGCATGCGCCCTATGCTGAATAATCCATCCAAAATTGCTTTTTGTATACCAGATGGCAAGATGGGGCCCAAAATGCTGTTAACAGTGCGATGTACTGCAAAATCAAGGAAAATGAAACCATTTAGGCCCCGAATATGTGGTGGTGGTGGTCGTGGTGGTGAAGATAGTATATTTAAGTTCATTGATGACCTGAGTTTGCAATTCTTGGATTGAGCCCAAGAGCAGCAGGAACTTCCATTGCTGCTTTAAAATTCTCGACACTTAGTGCCGTATTATACAAGGCAATCTGACAAGTTTCAGGAGTTAACTAAGACTGGTATCTTATTTTAGAAAAAGAGTAGTTCAGTAAATTACAATAAAAACAAAATATGCAATCCATACCTGCCTACGCTCTGATTCATACGTAGAAAGAATTGAGGGTTGCGCGATTCCCTTGATGACGGAAGCCAACTTCCAGGCAAGATTGTGAGCATCCTGAATTCCAGTATTCATTCCTGCAACATCGTCACTTCGTGACTAGTAAAATATTCAACTCACAAAAAAAATAATAATTTGTATTCTTCAAGGGAGAAAAAGAAAATCTATAAGCATGAAAAATGTTTACCAAAACCACCAGAAGGTGGAAACCGATGAGCAGCATCACCAGCCAATATGATTCTGTTGTCACCAGCTAAAAATGCATCAGCAACTTCTGCATGCATTACCCACGGCCTTACACCCACAACATTAATGTCCGAAATCTCTCGCCCGACCAGTTTGATAATTAGTTTCTCACACATCTGGAACAAAGAGAATTAAGATCAATTTACTAAAACCACATAAAATGTCTGGAAAATAAGTTTAGCTAGAGTCTGCAAGA